AGGCAGCTGACGCTGCGCAGGGACGGCCAGGTCTGAGGACGGGGCGCCGCGCCCGCGCGCGGAGGGGCGCGGGCGGTCTGGGTTCGGATCCCGACGAGCCCGCCTTCCCCTGCCCCGCAGATGGGCGCTGCTCTCCCGGGGCTGAGCCCGCCGGCAGTCTCCGCGGACCCGTGCCCCTGAAGTCCGGGAGGAGCCCCTCCCGCCTGCCTCTGCGGCGTTTTGGGGGCCTCAGCCCCGGCGGCAGCCCAGGCCGCCGGAGCCGCGGGGCGATGATCCTGGCGTCGGTGCTGGCGAGCGGCCCTCGGGGCCCGCCTTCTCTGTGGCCCCTCCTGGGACCCACGTTGTCGCTGCGGGCGCGCTCAACCTCGGCCACGGACACGCACCATGTGGAGCTGGCGCGGGAGCGCTCCAAGACCGTCACCTCCTTTTACAACCAGTCCGCCATCGACGTGGCGGCGGAGAAGGTGCGGCTGCGGCTCAGCTGGAGAGGGTGTCCCGGGAGCGCGTGCGAGTGATGCGGGGGTGGGTGCGGGAGGCCCGGCCCTTAAGGTCCGTCTGCCCCTCCAGCCCTCCGTCCGCCTCACTCCAACCATGATGCTTTACTCCGGCCGCTCTCAGGACGGCAGCCATCTCCTGGTAAGATCCCCGTCCGCTCTTCCCCCCACCAGGGCTCCTGGAGCTCTGGCAGCCACTCAGGCCCTGGCCCTGCCTTCCCTGTGTCTCGCAGAAGAGCGGCCGGTACCTGCAGCAAGAGCTGCCGGTAAGGATCGCTCACCGCATCAAGGGCTTCCGCAGCCTTCCCTTCATCATCGGCTGCAACCCCACCATCCTGCACGTGGTAAGGTAGACGGTACAGGGGTCCTCAAATCGGTGTGCACAGGGGCAGGTGGGGCCCACGCTGGCAGAGGCTCGGCTGCTGAAAGGGGTCAGGCTAGGCGGGATTCAGCCCCAAGCCTGTGGAGGCCAAGGATACGAGTTCATGGAGGCTAAAAGGTCACAGTGGAGCCGGGCATGGTGGCGCTCGCCTGTAATCCCAGCACTCAGGAGGCTGAGGCAGGAGGATCCTTGTAAGTGCAAAACCAGCCTGGGCTGCAAAGTGAGCTTAAGGCCAGCCTGAACTGCACAGCCAGACCCAGTCTCAAAAAGACAAAAATAAGTAAATAAATAAATAAAAGATTACAGTGCAAAGTGGGCGGGGTGGTGACCCTCACAGGCAGGCCTGGGTAGCTGTTCCCGACCCAGTACCCTGGCAGCCTTGTGAAATCTCCTACTTGTTCCTTGCAGCATGAGCTGTACATCCGTGCCTTCCAGAAGCTGTCAGACTTCCCTCCGGTGAGGCTGGGCCAAGCGAGGTGAGGGGCTAAGAGGTCAGGGTTGGACCGCCTGTGCTCATGACTCTGTGACCTGCAGATCAAGGACCAGGCGGACGAAGGCCAGTACTGCCAGCTGGTGCGACAGCTGCTAGATGACCACAAGGATGTGGTGACCCTCTTAGCTGAGGGCCTGCGTGAGAGCCGCAAGCACATACAGGTCAGGGCAGTAAGGAGGGGCCTGAGGTAGGGGGCTGGGCAGAGCACAGGGTCACTGAGGCCCCGCTCCGCAGGATGAAAAGCTTGTCCGCTTTTTCCTGGACAAGACGCTGACCTCGAGACTTGGGATCCGCATGTTGGCCACTCACCACCTGGCGCTGCACGAGGACAAGGTGAGGGCCAAAACGGACACCGGGGCCTTCTTGCTTTGGGGACCTGGGCCAAGGGCCTGGAGGAGAAGCTGCTTTGGCATTCTGGGAGTTGCATCTGGCAGCCGAGGTGGGGACAGAGGGCTTGCTAGTCCTGACCTCCTTTCTCCCGCCAGCCTGACTTTGTCGGCATCATCTGCACTCGTCTGTCACCAAAGAAGATTATTGAAAAGTGGGTGGACTTTGCCAGGTGAGGTTCCCTCGGGTGACGGGGAAGGTTTAGTCCTGGCCTGGGGCATGGAGTAGGGCAGGGTTTCTCAACCATGGTGCTACTTCTGTGTGTGTGTATGATGCTGGGGATAGAACTGAAGACTTTCCCACTGAGTGACATCCCCAGCACTGGTTTTTTTTTTTTGGTACCGGGAATCAAACTCAGTACCTTGTGCTTGCCAGGCAGGTGCTTATGCCACTGAGCTGTATCTCCAGCCCTCTTTTTGGTCTTTTTGAGACAGGGTTTCAGTATGCAGTTCAGACCAGCCTTGAGCTCACTTTGTAGCCCAGGCTGGCCTCGAACTTGCAATGATCCTCCTGCCTCAGCCTCCCGAGTGCTGGGATTACAGGCATGTGCCCCTATGCCCAGTTCCCCAGCAGTTTTTGAGACAAGTCTGAGGTTGGCCTTCAACTTGGGATCCCGCCTCAGCCTACTGCTGGAATTCAGCGGTTTTAGACATTTGCTCCCTCACCTGGCTGGCACTGTTAACATTTTAAACCAGGCCAGGTGTGGTGGCGCACGCCTGTAATCCCAGCACTCAGGAGGCTGAGGCAAGAGGATCTTGCGAGTTCGAGACCAGCCTGGGCTACAAAGTGAGTTCAAGGCCAGCCTGAACTGCATAGCAAGACCCTGTCTCAAAAAGACCAAAAAAAGAAAAAACATCTTAAGGCAAATCATTCTTCGTAGTGTGTGTGTTGGGATGTTTTTGTTAGACCCCTGGCTCCTGCTCACTCGATCCCCAGCAATGACCCCAGTGTGACCAGTAACAATATCTCCGTCCTCTGCCAGATGTGCCTAGAGGAGCAGAATTGCTGGCAGATGAGAACTGCTACTCTAAGTGCCCCAGTCTAAACCTTCTCCAATCCACAGACGCCTGTGTGAACACAAGTACGGCAACGCCCCCCGCGTCCGCATCAACGGACACGTGGCCGCCCGCTTCCCCTTCATCCCTATGCCGCTGGACTACATTCTGCCCGAGCTGCTCAAGAATGCCATGAGGTGGGCAGGCTGGACATGGTGGGCGGGGACAGACAGCAGCCGGGGTGCCGTCACCTGCCATCTCTCCCTCTTGCACAGAGCCACGATGGAGAGCCACCTGGATACTCCCTACAATGTCCCAGATGTGGTCATCACCATTGCCAACAATGATATCGATTTCATTATCAGGTTTGCCCTGAGCAGCGGAGTTGGGCTAGGGTGGGGGCAGCCGTTCCAGGCACTGTTTCTGAGTAGCTGTGGGCCCCAGAGCTAGCACCTGTCTCACTCTGGAACTTGGGCTCTGGTCAGAAGAGAATCTGGTGCTGAGATTGCCGTGACCTGGATACGCATGGATTTGGGGCCAGCTGAGGGCCCAGCAAGCACCCTGGCTCTGTCAGCGACTGAGGGGCCTAGAAACCAGTCTTTGAGGCTGGACTGAGTGAGGGCAAACATCAACTGTACAAGCCGTCAGGCCCAAGCAGAGCTAGGGATGGAGGAAGGCAGCTTAAACACACAAGGCCCCAGTGTCTTTGTTGGTTTGGTTGGTTTGTTTTTTTTTTTGTTTTTTTGTCTTTTTTTGAGACTGGGTCTTGCTCTGTAGTTCAGGCTGGCCTTGAGCTCACTTTGTAGCCCAGGCTGGGCTTTTTTTTTTTTGGTGCTGGGAATCAAACTCAGGACCTTGCACTTGCCAGGCAGACACTTGTGCCACTGAGCTATACCCTGGGCCCCCTGGGCTGGTCTTGAACTTACAACGATCCTCCTGCCTCAGCCTCCCGAGTGCTGGGATTACAGGCATGCACCACCATACCGGCAAGGCCCCAGTGTCAAGATGGGTCACACTCCACCTTTGTGTGGAACAAACAGGAGGTCAGACTTAGGCCCCGTCTGCTTGGGAGGTACTCAGACCCCAGAAACCTGAGCCAAGCCCATGTTGTCAACATTCTGCCAGGATTTCAGACCGGGGTGGAGGAATTGCCCACACAAACTTGGAGCGGGTCATGGATTACCACTTTACTACGGCGGAGGCCAGCACCCAGGACCCCCGCATCAGCCCCCTCTTTGGCCATCTGGACATGCACAGTGGCAGCCACTCAGGACCCATGCATGGGTGAGGCCCCGCCTGGCCAGGCTCGGGGTGGGGGTGAGCCCGGGAGACTCAAGCCTCTGAGGCCTCCTGTCCTGTCCCCCTCTGCCCTCAGCTTTGGCTTCGGGTTGCCCACGTCGAGGGCCTACGCAGAGTACCTCGGGGGTTCCCTGCAGCTGCAGTCCCTGCAAGGCATTGGCACAGATGTCTACCTGCGGCTCCGCCACATCGATGGCCGGGAGGAGAGCTTCCGGATCTGACCCCTGGCCTGCCTGCTCGCCCAGGCTGGGCCACATACCCTGCCAGGACCTTCTGGGTTGGGCACGGTGGCACTGTGCCCCACACACTGCTGCATCTTGGGTCTCCAGGCCCCAGCCAAAAGGACTTACCAGGAGCTGGGTGCCACTCCTCAGGAGGGCTGTGGGCACCTTACCTCCAGGCTGTGAGGGGAAGAAGCGGGATCTCCGGGACTCTAGCACCAGCTGTCACTCTTGTTCCTGGGGAACCCCTACATGACCTGCTGTTTGTTATTAAAGTTCACATTCTGAATGCCCTCGTGGGCCCTGTCTGGCGGGAGAGGAGGGGAGCTTTCGCCTCTGCCCTTTCAGGTTTCTTGGCTCCTTGCCTTTAAGTGGTTCACGTCCTAATCTCTTAACTAACCTGACTGCCCGGCGGACAGGAATAGAATTGGCTCTAAGGTTTGTCTGTTTTATTTGGCAGGAAGGGAGGTGACTTTGGCAGCTTATGCGAAGATCTTTTATTCCTCTAATTTAACGGATGTGTCTGAGACATCCAGACAGCGTTGAAGGCCTAGGTGGGTCCAGCTTCGGGCTCTCCTTCCGACTCGTCCCTTCCTGACAGGTACAGGTTTTAGAGATGAAGGTCACCAGACCGGGCCACTTCCTGAGCCACCTGAGTCCCGAGCGTAAGACAGGTTAAAAATACTGCCTGCCGGCTGCCAAGAAAAGGAACACACAAGGTTGTGACGTGGTGCCCTGGCAGGCTCGGCAGAGACTTGAGTGCCCCACAAGAGAAAGGCAGGCCCTGGGAGGGACTGCAGAAGAGGAAAGGACTCCGGATAGCAGGTGGGCTCAGAATTAGCTTTTTTTTTTTGTCTTTTTGAGACAGGGTCTCACTATGCAGTTCAGGCTGGCCTTGAGCTTGCTTGTAGCCCAGGCTGGTCTCGAACTCGCAATGATCCTCCTGCCTCAGACTCCCGAGTGCTGGGATTACAGGCATGCGCCACCACGCCTGGTGGCTCAGAGTTAGCTTTGAGGTAAAACTCCAGGTAGCATCTCTGTGGGGAACACCCTACCCACCTTGTCAGGGACAAGGGCCCAAGGACCTGCCTGGTAGGATTCGGAGAGATACTCTAATTGTTTCTGGCGGGCAAACAGCAGTTGGTGGGAAGCCATGATGCTTTGCTATGCTGCAAACATGCTGGATGCAGTTGGAGAGGTAAGCAGGAAGTAGAAGGTACAGGGCCTTACCCTGGAGGTACAAGGGATCCATGGATGGGTTTTAAGTCAGGAAGAGATGTTTAGGCTGGGCTGCCCAACTCTGAGAGGAGAACTTACAAATGATGGTGAAGAAAGTGTTTCCAGATGGCAGATTGGGAAGCAGGAAAGAGAAGGGGAAAAACCAAAGAAGGATGTGATCTCAGGTGAAACTCTGGAGGCGGGGCTAGGGTGTGGCTGAGTGGTAGAGTGCTTGCCTAGCCATTTGAGAAGTGTGGGTTTGATCCCCAGCACAGCCAAAAAACAACAGCTGGGCGTGCTGGTGCACCCCTGTAATCCCAGCACTCAGGAGGCTGAGGCAGGAGGATCCTTGCGAGTTTGAGACCAACCTGGGCTACAGGTGAGCTCATGCCAGCTTGAACTGCATAAGGAGACCCTATCTCAAAGAAAGACCAAAAAATAAAGAGCAACAGAAGTCCAGACCAGTCGATTAGACTTCAGAGGGCCCTTTTGGGGGAACATTAAAGGTAGGTGCTCCAAGCACACAGAAACAACAAAGGACCTGGCCGCAGCCCTACATAGTTCTAGGAGGCCCAGTCAGATTTATTTATTTTGGTACCGGGAATCGAACTCAGGACCTTGCACTTGCCAGGCAGGTGCTGTACCGCTGAGCTGTATCCCCAGTGGGCCGGTCAGATTTATGTGTTAGAACTCCTGGTGGTCCTTGGCTTGGTGAGAGCACAGTGAGGAGCTGATGCAATGACCCTGATCGGGGATTTATAAGGCCTAGGCTAATCCTTAACTAGAAAAGACATCATCTGTAATTGAAGATGTCAGGTGAAGTACAAAGTGAGGCAGAAGAACCCCTAGTGAGTAAAGTAAGAATTCTTCTATTTATTTATTTATTTTTTAACGTAATTCTGAAGCTAGGTATTACAGATTTATTTCCTTTTATTTGTTCCTTTTTTTTGGAGACAGGGTCTCATGCCGTTCAGGCTGGCCTTGAGCTCACTTAGTAGCCCAGACTGGTCTTGAACTCAATGATCCTGCCTCAGCCTCCCGAGTGCTGGGATTACAGGGGTGCACCACCGTGCCCAGTTATTTGTTCCATTTCTTATGTTACAATAGCTAGCATTCACTCCCCACCCCCAACTTCATTTCCCAAAACTAGGTTACCAGCTCTTCCCGCTGCCCCTCCCAACAGACAGATAAGGTAAATCAGGTATTTCTTGAATTGTAATCTTGGAGCCCTATCTTCAGGCCCTGAGCATTCCATCCCTCTTAGAATTGTTCCTGTTCTGAAGCCCAGCGGCCGAATTAGAAATCAAGTAACTTTTGAGAATGGCTAAAAGCAATGTTTAATCCACACTGTGCCGGGCATTGTGACCACACATCTCCAGCCTTTTGCAGTTGTTTTTGTTATTGTTGGTGTGAGACAGGGTCTCAATGTGTAGGATGCCCTTGAGCTCACTTTGTAGCCCAGGCTGGCCTTGAACTCACAAGGATCCTCCTGCCTCAGCCTCCCTAGTGCTGGGATTACAGGCGTGCACCATCACACCTAGCCTCTCCAGCCTTTTTTATTTGAGACTGGGTTTCCCTAAGTCACTATGCTGCTCAGTCTGGACTAGAACTTGTGACCCTCCTGTCTCAGCTTCCCACCGTCCTTGGAAAGAATACTGGCACGTGCCGCCATGCCTGGCTGGGGAAGGACCTTACTACACTCGAGCTGATTAGAGGATGACAGCAGTTCTTGACCCTGAAGAGCCGTCTTACAGGGAAAGCTCATTTCGGGGCAGTCTGTGTAAGAAATGGGTGGTTGGGGATCGGTGCACACTTTCTCACAGATGAAAGTTTGTGACAAATAATGCACATCTAACCCTAATGCCTAGTCCAGAGGTATTTGCCAGCTGTGTAAATCTCAAGAACAGAGAGCGTTATACTTCACCTGATTATTTGAAAGGGTCATGTGGAACTAAACAGGGAGTTGGGCTTGAGATCTGGTCTCAGTGCTCGGTTTATATACAAATAAAACTTTCTCAGTTATATGACATACAGTATATTGTCAGCTATATAAATTGTATGACTTACATAGTTTATATTGCCTATAGCTGTAAATTAAGCACAACCTTTGCAGGTTTTCAGCAGTTTACACACTTGTCCACCTTACCCAGCGTAGGGTCGAACTAAACCCCAGTCATTGATAAGATGCTCTTTATTGTATCCACTGCCCCGTCCTTTCTTTAAAAAAATCTTTATTCTGGAGCCAGTGTGGTGGTGCACGCCTGTAATCCCAGCACTCAGGAGGCTGAGGCAGGAGGATCATTGTGAGTTCGAGGTCAGCCTGGGCTACAAAGTGAGCTCAAGACCAGGCTGAACTGCACAGCGAGACCCTGTCTCAAAAAGACAAAAATAAATAAAATAAATAAATAAATAAAATAAGTAAGTAAATAAATAAGGTCTTTATCCTGGCAGATTTAGTGGCTTCTGCTTGTAAGCCCAGCACTTGGGAATCCAAGGAAGGGGATGATGAGTTTGAAGCCAGCCGCACTGCATCACTGGCTACAGTTAAAAAAAACCCCTTTATCCTGAAAAGCTTATTCTGAGGATGACTTACTGGCCACTCCTGGACACGCCTGTTTTTTCCCCCACCCCAACTGTATCTTTTTCCAACCCTGAACAAGAGGCGCACTTTTTTTCAACTTACAAATAGGTATTAAGCAGGCGCAGTGGGTAAAGTGTGTGAGGGGGCAACAAGGGTTGCTAATTCAAGGGTCAATCCTGTGCTAGGCAACCGGGGAAACGCTTTGATTCCGCCCGTTAAAGAGAAGACAGAGCCGGGCGTGGTGGTGCACGTCTGTAATCTCAGCACTCGGGAGGCTGAGGCAGGAGGATCGTTGCGAGTTCGAGACCAGCCTGGGCTACAAAGTGAGCTCACGGCCAGCCTGAACTGCACAGCAAGACTCTGTCTCAAAAAGACCAAAAAAAAAAAAAAAAAGAGGACAACGGTCCTGAAAACTGACACATCTTGCCTTCTACAGCATCAGACCCTTAAAATTTTTGAGATATGTCCTCACATTAGGAACGTTTGTCTCCACTACTACCGTGAGCAACCGTACAGCTACACCAAAAATGATTTCAAACCATCTCTGCTGCGCTCACCTCCCAGAGGTAGCAGCGCCACCGAGCGGGCCCCAGGACCTGTACACGCCTGTTACGTCACAGGTCCTACCCACAAGCCTGGGCCCCGCCCCCACACCGCTGACCCGGAGCTAGAAGAGCGGCGCGGCGCTGTAGTCTAGCGTCACTTCCGCCACCGCAATGGCGGCGCAGGGGGCAGCTGCGGCAGTTGCCGCAGCGACTTCGGGGGTCGTGGGAGAGGGCGAGCCCGGCCCTGGGGAAAATGCGGCGGTCGAGGGAGCCGCCCCATCCCCGGGCCGCGTCTCCCCGCCGACGCCAGCACGCGGCGAGCCTGAAGTTACGGTGGAGATCGGAGAAACGTACCTGTGCCGGCGGCCGGACAGCACCTGGCGTGAGGGCGGGGCCCAGTGCCTAGGGGCGGGGCTGCGGGGTGGGCCCTGGGAACTGGTCCTCTGGAGGGCCGAGTGCGCGGGGGTTGGGAGTCGTGGGGCGGGGCGGAGCCGGGAGGAAAGGCGGTGTCGCGGGGCGTGAGAAGCCAGCCCTGTAATGGAAGGCTGTCACTTTGACCCTATGACGGGCACCACCTAAAAGCCACCAGCAAGGCGATCATCTAAGTTTTGGTGCACTGCTCTCCCATTGCACTTCTTTGCCTGGGTTAGACTTCATTACCTTTTTTTGCTAACCCTACTTAGGTAGCCGCCTCACAAAGGCTATTGCTAGACCAGAAAGTGCGGTGTATTCTCTATACCTTTAGCCATTGTGCCCTTGGCTTGGAGTGTCTTGTATAGCTCCTCCTGATCCTTTTAACCTCATCCTTTATAATGCCATTCTTGACCCGCTTCAGGCCGAGTGAGTTGTTCCCTTCTGTATGTTTCTGCAACATTTGTTTCGTACCTCGGCCGTGGTACATGTAGCAGTATGTCGTAATTTTCTGTGTCCTCCTCTGGGAGCTTCTGGAGAACAAGATCTCTGTGATTCACGACTATGTCCTCAGTGTCCAGCAGCAAAGCACAGCGGCAGCCAGGCAGTGGTTGCCTTACTCGTGCATCCGATGGTCTGCTAGTTGTTTCACACTGGAGTGAAAATTTTGGAGACATTAACTCAGCCTCGAGGTGGGAATTATTACGCTGGTGAAGAAACGGAGGCTCAGGAAGTCAAAATAACTTGCTCAGTTACATAGAACTAGGGAATGGGGAGTGAGAAATACATAAACTCAGGCTGTTCCAGCGTCAGCCCTCACATCCTCCAAATAAATGACTTGAGTGTGTAGTGAGGTGAGTATGAATTTGGAGTCGGACTTTAAAAATTCAGTTAAGTATCCATTCCTCTCACTTTTCAAATCTGCGACTCCGGATTAAGTTTCACGTTTTTTCTCATTGGTCCAATAAGAGTAACAGCCCCACCTTGGCCCATCTCACAAGGTTGTGGCAGTGCTGGATGTGGGCAGATGAATCTGGAAACTGCTGGAAATCTGGACACTTCCTCAGTACATCGGCTTCCTGTTACTCTGTTTCCTTCCTGATGATCCTAGTCTTTTTCCTTCGCAGATTCTGCGGAAGTGATCCAGTCTCGCGTGAATGACCAGGAGGGCCGAGAGGAGTTCTATGTACACTATGTAGGCTGTGAGTGCCCTGGGGCCTTGAGCCTGGGGGAGGGGGGGAGGCAGGGCCGTACCTTCATGGCCCATCTTAACAGTTAACAGGCGACTGGACGAATGGGTAGACAAGAACCGGCTGGCACTGACCAAGACAGTGAAAGACGCGGTGCAGAAGAACTCAGAAAAGTACCTGAGTGAGCTGGCTGAGCAGCCTGAGCGCAAGATCACTCGCAACCAAAAGCGCAAGCACGATGAGATCAACCATGTCCAGAAGGTCCGGGACCCTCCCCTTCCCCAGGGCCCAGGTGGTCCAGCTGCCTCTGCCAGCCTTAGGCCGTTGGGCCTGGTGCTGAAATCACAGCAGCCCCTGTTTTTTAAGTTCTGGGGACTTTAGTGTACCGGGGACTTTACCAGTCCTTCCTGTACTCTTCATAGGTCAGAAAACAGGCTCAAAGAGGGAAAAGTGTTGCTACAATCTCACAGTAAGGGGACGGCACAGCAGGGACTGGAACTCCTGCTCAGATAACCTCTTCTGATTCCTAATGGCTGTGTCATATTAGACAAAATGACTTCAAGTCCAAAGAGAAGAAAGAGGACTGGGGATTTAGCTTAGTGGCACAGCGCCTGGCAAGCGTAAGGTCCTGAATTTGATTTCCGGTACTCCCCCAAAAAAGAACAAAGAAGCCAGGTATGGTGGCACACGCCTGTAATCCCAGCGCTTAGGAGGCTGAGGCAAGAAGATCATTTCCAGTTCAAAACCAGCCTGGGCTACAAAGTGAGCTCAAGGTCAGCCTGAGCTATGTAGCGAGACCCTGTCTCAAAAAAAAAGAACAAAGAGAAGAAAGAGAATGAGTTATACTATATACCTGGCTATTACCAAATACCATACTGTACATGTATCAGCTCATCAAACCTTCCCTAACAATTCACTACCATAAGGAAAATTACTTTTTTGTGGATGAGGAAGCAGGCTCAGAGAGGTTGAGTAATATGCCCATGATCACACAGCTAGTAAAAAAGTGGGCTGGAATTAGAATAATTATCCCAAACATTATTGGTCTGTGAGCCAAAGTATTAGGCCAAATATTTAGTGCATGATCTCACTAATGTTTCACACCAACCCTGTGATGTAAACACTGTTATCAACAGTTTATAGAGGAGACAGATAGGTTTAGGAATCCAGTGAGTATTAGATCTGCCAACTACACTGTCCTCCTTCTGAGTCTGAGGGCTTAACTATGGTTGTGGTGTTTTTGTGTTTTGTTTGACAGTAGCCCAGGTTGGCCTTAAACTGGTGGCAGTCTTCCTGCTTCAGCCTCCTGAGTGCTGGGATTACAGATGTGTGCCACCACACCCAGTCTAACCATGATTTTGACACGTCCCAGAAACATCCTGAAACCCAAATTCTTGCTGGGTGTGGTAGATATGACTGTAATCCCAGCACTCAGAAGGCTGAGGCAGGATTGCTGTTTTTGAGGCCAGCCTGAACTATATGGGAGACCTTGTCTCACAAATACCAAAAATAAATGCATGAAAAGAGCTGGGGTTGTACTTTATTGTGAAAGCCCTGGGTTCAGTCCCCAGTATGCAGAAAACAAACAGTAAAAACAACCCAGGCTCTTTGTTGTTGTTTTTTAGATTGTAATATGAAGATGCAGTACCTAAAATTTGCAGTACATAGGATTACGTTCACTGCGGGACACTGGTCCATGTACACAGTGCGTCTTAACTGCTTTGTTCTTTTTACCAAGTTCGATTGTCCCTGGAGGGTTCCTTCCTTCCACTCTGAGCCTCAGTTTCTTTATTTATAAAGTGAGGAGCACGAACTAAGACAGGATTTAGCGAGCTCTGAAGGCACTGAGCAGTCATTATTTCCAGAGGGTACGGTTCCACCTTTCTGAGCGCACACCGTGTGCTTTACTGTGATATTTTCCAGCTGTGGGACACAGCCTATTAGGTTGCAAAATTGAGCCAGTCAGTGTGGCCAACATTTAAATTTTAAAAATATATAAAGGCAACAGGTTAAGAGAAAATATCAGAGTACATCGCACTTTACTAAGGGTAAGTATTGTGCTGAGAAACTTTTATTTCACATGCAAACGTGGATGTGTACACAAGAACACGTAAATGGGTTTGTAGTGCCAACTACACTTTGTATTGTGGATACGATTTAAAAAGAAAAACAACGTAATATACACTAAATTAGATCCCTCCAGGTCTAAGGTAGAACTGTTCAACTGAAGCCCCTGTTATGATGGAAATGTTGTATAGCGGTGCTAGCCAATACAGATATCATAGTCATAGGCAGCTGTGGACCACTTGAAGTATATCTAGTGTGACTAAAAATTAAATGTTTTTTTTTTTTAACTTTAATATTTATTTACTTACTGTCAGTTTATTTATGGTATTTTGAGACAGGGTCTCATTACATAGTTCAGACTGACCTGGAACTCACTATGGAGCCCAGGCTGGCCTCAGACTTGGAGTGATCCTTCTGCCTCCCGAGTGCTGGGATTACAGGTGTGAGGCACCAGATGTGGCAGCATTAAATTTGTAAAGATTTAATTTAAATAGCTGCATGTGACTAGAGGCTACTCTGCTGGACAGAAGTGTAAGACCCTCCTAGTTCCCCAACTCTTTGGCATTGAATGAAGATGTAACTCTAAGCTGGTAATCAGCTGGGTAGGTGGTACTGGGCCAAGCAGGGGTGAGAGTAGGTAATAGCTGGGGGTGCTGGTGCACGCCTGTCATCACAGCTTGGACACTTACCGGGACCCTTTTTCGAAGTAAAATACACAAAGGGCTGGGGTTGTAGCCCAGTGTGAAGGTCCTGGGTGTAATTTCCAGTACTACAAAAAATTAAAGTGAATGAGTCATAGAGCATTGGTGCACACCTGTAACCTAATCAGGAGGCTGAGTCAGGATGATTGCAAGACCAACGCCAGCCTTGACATCTTCGACCCTATCTCAAAAAGACAAAAGGAAGAAAAAAAAGAGCTAGAGGTGTAGCTTGATATAGAGCACTTACCTAGCAGGCACAAGCCCCTGGGTTCAATTCCCAGCACTGAAACAAAAATAAATGAGTTAATAATTAACAAAGTCAACTCATAGCTTGCTTTATGTTTAATTCTAAATAAATTGCAGCGTTTAAGAAAAGCATTGTTTTGTAGTTCTTTAATGCCTTTGGAGAAGAGGATTGTGTTTTGAGACAGTTGAGCAATGTTTTGTTTTGTTTTGAGACAGGGTTTCACTAGGCAGTTCAGGCTGGCCTCAAACTCACAGTGATCCTCCTGCCTCAGCCTCCCGAGTGCTGGGATTACAGCCACCACGCCAGGCCAATGTTTTAAACACGTAAGGAGGAAAATCTTATTTCTTCCTCTTTACAGTGTTTAGGCTCAGTTTGGGTAGACCAGGAACTTGTATCCACCTTTCCTGAGTGCTAGTTCTGTGACCCTGAGCAAGTGAACGTGCCTCAGTTTCCTCTTTTGTACAGTGGGGATAATGAGCATTTCTGTTTCAGAGACTCACTGTGAGGGGTAAATGAAATAACGTCTGTGGAGTGCTTGACACTGGACCAAGTGGTGGCTGGCTAGGCCCCAAGGGCAAGTGACCTCATGTTCCCCTGCTTGTTTACTGCTCTATAAAATTGAAGTAAGAATGTTTTATCAGCAGGGCGTGGTGGCACATACCTGAGTCCTGGCACTCTGGGAGGCTGAGGCAGGAGGATCAAATGTTCCAGCCCAAACTGGACGGTTTAGCCACTTAGTAAGACATAGTCTCAATAAACAAACAAAAATGGCTGGGGATGTGGGGGGGGCGGGGGGCGCATGCCTGTAATCCCAGCGCTTGGGAGACTGAGGCAGGCGGATTGTGGCGAGTTCAAGACCAGCCTGGGCTACAAAGTGAGTTCAAGGCCAGCCTGAACTGCATAGCAAGACCCTGCCTCAAAAAGACCAAAAAAAAAACAGCTGGGGATGTAGCTCAGTGCAAAGGTCCTGGGTTCGGTCCCCAATACTACAAACAAAAAACACCTCTGTCAAGTCTGTCAGGGTGCTGCTTGAAGCCAGGTAGCATATAGATGAAGTACTTTGTGGAGGGGCCTCGCGGGTGAAAGCTGACTTTGTCAACTATGAGCTCGTGTAATCCGGTACAGGCCATAGGCCTTTATTTTCTTTGTCTTTGTTTTTGAGATAAGGTCTCTCTGTGGAGTTCAAGCTGGTCTCGAGCTCACTTTGTAGCCCAGGCTGGTCTTGAGTTCACAATGATCCTCCTGCCTCAGCCTCCCGAGTGCTGGCATTACAGGCGTGTGCCACCAGGCCATAGGCCTTCTTGAGTCTCCATTGTCAGACTGTGCTTGGTTCTGGCCACAGAGTCTGGCTGAGGAACGGTGCACTGTGTGATAACTTCTGGTCTTCGTTGAGGACTTGGAAAATAGGCCGATGAGGTGGCCAGGAGGAGGCGTCTTGCATTTCCCACTCCTGACTTGGGAGGAGGAGGTGTTTTCGAGGTAGGAAGACTCTCGGCAGGCTTCCTAGCGGGGATGAGAGGGAAGTGGAACCCTGAAGCACAGGAAAGAGCGCAATAAAAACAATTACACACGATCACGCACAACGTGCTTATGCACGATCACTCACAACGCGCCGCTCCGTCGCGGGTCCCCTGACTCACGTCTGTGCCAGGTTGGGTGTGCGCTTCGGCAGGCTGACGAGACGCAAGATCACGTGCGCAAGCGTGAGGGCTGGGGAAGGGGTGTTGGTAGCTGGAGTCTGAGGTCACTCAGACGCGGGAGGGATCCAAGGAGGACTGCCCAGTGGTCCAGATCGGAGGGAGTGACAGTGACTGTTTGGAGCGGGACAGAGGGACTGACCCAGAGATGTCAGGGTGGTAGGGTTGACTTCCGTTCTGTCAGCACTAACGGATGCCAGGCTGGACAGTGGGACGTTCTTAGAGCTGGCCCGTTTCTGGACTTGGGCTGCTGAGCTGAGGGTGCCGTTTCCAGTGAGAGGGGCACCTGGGAGGAGGAGTAAGTGTACAGTCTTGGACGTCTGATGTTCCCGTGGGGGTGCCTCTGGGAGCAGCGCCATGGACGCCGCTCCTTAGGTCTGGGGCTTAGGAAAGCGGTGCAAGCGCCTCGGGGCGCTGGCGGTAGTTCTCACTCTGGACTTGGGAGGTGAGATCCATTATTTCTCCTGGCTCTTAACAGCTCGCGAGCCAGATTACCCCACATACGGTTAAAGCCCTTTCTCACCCGAGGCCTGGGACAGGCCTCTTGACCAGCCCTGTTTGACTGGCAAAAGGTTGAAAGTTGGGCCTCTGGGTCGTCTGGGATGGGTGGGTGGGTGGGCTGAAAGGAGAGGAGCTTGGACCGACGAGCTCCAGGAGGATGTAAAACAAATTAGCTCTTCGTTTATCACTGTCACTTACGGGATGAGACAGTAGGGAGGCATCGTGGGTTCTGGGCCAGGGGAGGGAGAGTGTGACCACCCGTCCTGTTCATCTCTGACCGCTTCTCTGCCTTTGCCCAGACTTACGCGGAGATGGACCCCACCACAGCAGCCCTGGAGAAGGAACACGAGGCGGTGAGCAGGGACGGGGTCCTGCCTGGGGAGGTCCTCCCGCTCCTGCCTCGCCCCTGCCGAGCGGCGCAGTGCCCCCACTCCCACCCTGTGTGCAGATCACCAAGGTGAAGTACGTGGACAAGATCCACATCGGGAACTACGAGATCGACGCCTGGTACTTCTCGCCGTTCCCCGAAGACTACGGGAAGCAGCCCAAGCTCTGGCTGTGCGAGTACTGCCTCAAGTACATGAAGTACGAGAAGAGCTACCGCTTCCACTTGGTGAGGCCGGCTGTGCGGGGCGGAGGGGCGCGTGGAGGCCCAGGGCAGCTGAGCATGGGGCACGCAGCCCGGGGGAGACAGGCAGGCTCAGAGGGGTCAGTACAGCGGGGGCCCAAGGGTGGGGAGGTCTAGGTTCCTGGCTTTGCTGTTGCTGCTGGGGGACCTTGGCCAACTTACTGGCTCTTTCTAGACCTCAGTTTCCTCTTTGGTTTTTTGAGACGGGCTCTTGATGTGTAGTTCAGGCTGGACTTGAACTCATTAGCCCAAGCTGGCTTCAAACTCGAGGCAATCCTCCTGCCTCAGCCTCCTGAGTACTGGGATTACAGGCATGTGCCACCTTTTTTTTTTAATCTTGAGATAGAATCTTGTTAAGTCTCTAAATTACCCAGGCTATGCTCAGACTTAGGCTCCTCCTGCCTCAGCCTCTCCAGCAGTTTTCTCTTATATGGAACGGGGACAGTAATCTTTTGAGTTCTTTACCCTTTACTGCATGTTTAGTAAGCCCAGCCCAGTGCTGGGCTCCTCAGTGCAAAGGAGGAAACAAGCATAGCCCCTGACTGTGAGGACTTAGGCCCTGAACCGGTGGGAAGGACAGGGCTGGGGTTGTGTACCAGGCAAGAGGCACTCAGGAATAGCACAGCGGGTAGCACTTTTCCCAGAGTGTGGGGTCTGAGGTGAATCTGTGTGGTTTAAGAAAACCAGGGTCAGGGGCTGGGGATTTAGCTCAGCGGCAAAGCGCCTGCCTGGCAAGCGCGAGGTCGTGAGATCAATTCCCAGTACCCGGGAAAAAAAAAAGGCGCGGAGCGGAGGGTCTGCACCTGGGGAGGCAGAGGCTGCACGCCACACAGCCCGGGGTGGGAGACACCTAGTGGAGAACAGGGTCTCAAGCCTGTGTTCCTC